ATGAAATGCATGACAACAACAACCATCTAAATAATGCAACGTGCCACTATAGGCCAACAACAACAACATCTGATACAGTCCAGCAACAACAACAACCTAATAATATAGTAATCATCAACAACAAAAACAATGCAACGTACAATGATATTCACCTTAATCATTATACCACACAAAAACTGGTCACCAACCATCAACATATACTACAAGCATTCAACAATAGCACTATAGAAACAATTCATGCAACATAATATACGTGCAACAATAACATCATGCACAATGACCCGTCACTAAGTCAATGTACACCGCCAATACTGGCCACCATGCAACAACAATACTATAACAGCTCAACATCATCATCATACAACGTGCAAACAACAACCATTGCATTTAAGATCATGTCACACCACCACATAAACCTTACAATGTATTAATCATCCACAAACAGCAAAATCATTCAACTTCTGATACTTAAACTATTTTTAGATTAAATCTCGTCACGCCAGCTTTTTGACGCTTCGAATGGAACTCGAATCAGACTCCCGAAACGAAAGTTATGAATTTTTAAAGTTTTTTAAAAATAAATGTTTCTAGTGTAACTGGTTACCAAAATCAGGGTAACCGGATACGCCCTAGGAAACCAGCCAACAACGCAAAATTAACACAGGGTAACAGGTTACTTAAATCAGGGTAACCCGTTACCCCCTCATAGTTTTCCCAAAAACGCTATTTTTCAATAGTGTATTGGGTTATCCTATATCTGGTAACTGAATACACCTGCAGAAGAATCACTTTTCAGTTGCTTATCAGTACAATAAGTGATTTTTAACCCATTTTTCTACTCAAAAACCAGTTTTCATCAATGCAAAAACCTCGATTTCTTTGCCCAAAAATACCCAAAACAATTGTTCCGACTCTGACTCATGATTCCACACAACCACAACAACAATCAACTGTCATTTAAATGAATCAATAACAACAACAACAATTGCATCAATTTCATCATCTACCACGATTTTAACAATATCATACAACATTCCTCATAATCAACCAATTCAACAACAACATTCTATCAGAAACATGAATAAAGGGAAATATAACACAAGACCTACATAAAAGAGTCTACCCACAAATATCATCATACTAGCCCTTAGCTAGTTAGACCCCCCCACCCATTACCTTAGAGTTCTTGCGATGATTTCCTCTTCCTCAACAATGGAGCCCCTTATCCTTTGTCCTGAGCCCTAGCTTCTCACTTCAAGTTCTTTCTTCAGTTTCTCCCAAAAACACGTATTGACCAGTATTCCTCTCCACTTCCCCTTTTTCTATTGTTATATTATTATTATTATTATTATTCCACAAATTAAATAATAATAATAATAATAATAATAATAATAATAATAATAATAATAATAATAATAATAATAATAATAATAATAATCCATAATAATTTAAATTAGTAATATTCAACTAGTATTACTAATATTATTTTGATTAGTCATTTTCACCACACCACCAAGTTCTACATAATTAGGCACACACCCCTCACCCTTAAAATCATTAATTTTAAGGTCACTACCCCCTACCACAGTGTGTCCAACATAATAAAACACACATAATCACATACAATCACATAATTTTAATTACAAAAAAATAATTAAAATAAAATGGGTGTTACATATGTGATACTTGTTTTATCAAAATTAATGTCAATCCCAAAACCATGGAACTTACAATCTCCCTCTTTGACAAATTTTGGCTAAAACAACTTTTGCATGACAAACTGGAGAAACACAAAAAACAGTAACAAGATAAAACCACACACAAACTTGGTAGAACACATTAGAGGCATACACAGCAGAAATAGTGTAAGAATCCAACCTCAAAGAGAAATAACAAAGACATGGAGAGAAATAAACTCTCATACACCAAGATCCTTCAAACAACTGAAATACAATGTCAGGATATCCTGTCTGACATTACACAGAAATCAGAGCAAAACATTACAAAGATCCTACCCTTGTTTGCAAAGTGCAAAAGCCCCTATATGGGATAAAACAAGCAAGTAGGCAGTGGTTCTCCAAACTCTCTTCCTTACTCTTTTCCTTGCACTACAAGCAATGATCATCTGATCATTCTCTCTTCACTCATTTTCATCATGGCAAATGCATTATTCTCCTAATCTATGTTGATGACCTCGTCCTATTTGGCAATGACATTGTTGGCATACAAAACCTTAAGCACATCCTTGACATTGATTTCAAAATTAAAGACCTTGGAGATCTTCACTTTTCCTTAGCTTCAAAATTTTTTGTTCACCCAATGGAATCTCAATTTTTCAACGTAAATATGCCTTTGAATTACTCCAAGATATCAGTCTACTTGTTGCTAAACCTTGTTCTACCCCCATGACAAAGACTTAAAATACACCAAGGATGGTCACTCACCACCCAATGATGCAACAACTTTTAGAAGACTCATTGGTAATTGAATTTATCTTTGTACTACTCGCCCTGGTATCAGTTTCAGTGTTCAACAACTGAGCCAATTCATGACCTCTCATTCATCTCTTCATCTTCATGTTGCTTACAGGATTCTTCGACACATCAAACACTCATCATCTCAAGGTCTCTTTTACTCATCTTCTTCTCTTTTGCAACTCAAGGCTTTCAGTGATTCAGATTGGGCCTCCTATTGTGATACTCGTCGCTCCATCACTGGTTTCTGCATATTCCTCAGAGATTCTCTCATATCATGGAAATCCAAGAAGCAACAAACAATTTCCTGCTCTTCCTCGGAGGAAGAATATTGTGCCCTTGCATCCATGGTTTGCAAAATACAATGGCTCACTTATCTTCTCCATGATCTGCATGTCAACTTCATTTCTCTAGTTGTTTTATATCGCGACAATCAATCTGTCAGACACATTGCAGTTAATGCTATCTCTCATGAACTCACAAAGCATACTGAGATTGATTGTCATGTCATTCGTGATAAATTACTTGCTAAACTATTCCAACTATTACATGTTCCTAGCTCTGCCCAACTTGCAGACATTCTATCCAAACCTCTTGATCCACATCCTTTCCATATCATTTTTTCCAAGCTTTGTATCTCAGATAACGTCGTTCCAGCTTGAGAGAGGGTATTAAACCTTATTTTATGTTTGATTAATTAGTTATTAGTTGTTAAAGTTAGTTGCTCTTTTATAGGATGGTTAATTATTCTTTTGCTTACACCCAAAACTGTCTCATATATATATATATATATATATATATATATATATATATATATATATATATATATATATATATATATATATATATATATATATATATATATATATATATATATATATATATATATATATATATATATATATATATATATATATATATATATATATATATATATTCCATTTTAATGTAACTTCAAATTCATCAATGCATATACACACACAAATATGTAACTTCAAATTCATCAATGCATATACACACACAAATCATATTATTATCGCCTACGTGTTTCTCATAAATTTTATAAATTTTTAAAATCATCTCTTTCACATTGTTTAGATAGTAAAATCTAGATGCATTCTATATGTTTGTTCGGATAATATTATTTAAATAAATTTATATGCAACTTTTGAAAATTATGGCTACTTAAACGGTCACAATTTACTTTGTTCAAATAATACTATCCGAACAATTTGGAATTCAATTGAAAAGTAAATAAAATTTGATCAAGAATGGTTTTGACCGAACTCGAATTCTCCCAAACAATTCATGTTGAATTGAAATTCATCATTCTTTGATAACGAATGTCTTGTTGCTCTTTATTAATGATCGTAGAAAGACAAAGTTTTTTTTTTAACAAGAAATATTTAACATTTGAAGTTTTTAAAAATTTCAAACCTTCTATTTTTTTTTCTTCAAAAAGTGATTATGTAAATCAAATCTCTAAGATTTAATAAATATGATATCTTTATTGTCCTTCCATACAACAACTAAGTTGTCCATTTGAGGATTAGTCTCAGCAAAGGAAGGCATAGCCATGGAAAGGAAGTAAATGAAAATTGAGTTAGATGATAAATGAATTTCAGATGTTGGTTCGGGTAAATCCTAATCAAATTAGAATCTAAACTAAATTATGGTGAATTAGATTTTCTGAAAACCAAACCAAACCAAATCCGTAGGTGAACACCACTAATGGATGCACATGACATAACAGAATGGTGAATCAGCTGTGCATGATGCAGTGCATCTTCGAGTCAAACGATGTCCAGTGAGACAGTGCGATCCGCTGACGCCATTGTAGCTCCATATTTCATTTCACCAAATCATAAATAATGTGGTAACTCAAGTCACAGAGACACGGAGTGGTTTCTGATGCATGGGTCCACTGATTCATTACACCACCGTGCTGTATAACACCTTAATGGAAGCAGGATTTCATCAGTGTTTGGAGCTGAAACACATTTACATTTACTAGCCAAACATCATATTGAATACATTTATTATTTGATTTTGATAGGAACTTATATTGATAGTATTGTTAAAAAATTACATATCTTGTTGAAACTTATTTTAAGTATTTATATATTCAATCTCACAATAGCAGTCATCCCACTATCCATTATGCCGCTATAGCATTTTGGGAGTATGGCGTTTTGCGCTGTTATCCGAGATTAACAATCTAGAGTGGACACCTTTACTGTAACAGCTTTAACAAAGCATACTCTAAGCAATAAGCAAGATTCACAGAAACTGAATTAGAACTTCAGTAAGAATATTTTTGAACATTTTATAAAAATGACACTAATCATCAATAAACAAAGTAATTAGTTCCATGTGGTATCAAAAAACTATGTCATCAAAGGGTAGGGATTCTCTCCATTACTCAATAAATGGAGAGTTCTATTACTAGGGTTTTGAGAGAAATGAAGAGAATCCTAACTCAAGAAAATGCTCACCACATTGAGGATTACAATGTTTACAATGTATTCAATCGAGTAACGAAGTACCGCGCTGCAATTTCCATTTCATCATATCTTCAAAATTGAAACTGCTTGCACAACCGAGTAACGCGTTCTGTTGTTGTTCATAGCGACAAATGTAATTCATTCCTAGAAGAAGTTCACATATAGCTTCCTCTGTCTTACACTTATCAGCAAAATACAGTGTCTGAAATAGCAGCACGTTCGTCCGGCTCACTATATCACGTTGCTCGAAATTCCTCTCACTTTGCCATTTCATCATATTATGAGCAAGCGGAGAAAGCCACCGAAGTATCCCGTCAAGAGTCGCCTTCCATTCATGTGCGAGAGGGGCATCATATATGGCCAAATCCTTGGCATAGATCTTAAGTTTGGCCTTCAAAGATAACCTTAAGCTAGTTGGAAGCATCTTATATAGATCATCTCTAGCTTCCTCGCCGATTAAATGCGGAAAGCTAAGTAACTTCTCAATCACAATAATGATATTCGCATAATGCAATGCTAGAGCAGACCCTCCAAGAGTAGAAGGAGGAGCGTAAATAACAGACGATCCACTGTTCGGACCGACAGTTGAGCACGAGTGCTCCTTTTTCTTGACAATACTTCCAATCTCAATAGGACTTTGAGAGCTTGATACACAACTGAATTGATCCTCACGGTCGATAACAACATCGTCAAAATCATCGACAGCTGAAACTGAGCTACTTAAACTGAGACATTCCATGAAAAGTCTCCCAGGACTAGTTCCACAAGGAAAACCAAAATCTTCAAGTTGAACATATGCTAACTCACTTCTCTTTACATCTATATGAGTCCTACTGCTACCGTTTCTCCCGATTGAATTCAAATGAAAACCATTTTTCTTGCTACGATTATGTTTCAACTTCTCCAAATTCACATCAACATTAATTAAACCGGACGCGGGTCTACATTCATTTCGCACGAGTGGCGAGCCTTCACAACTACCAAACCCAAGACTATACTTCTTCTCCGAGGATTCGCTGAAGACCATACAGATTCTCGCATACAAGGTACAAACCGTCCTAGCCAACAACTCAACAACCTTATCAAAACTCTGATTCCACAGCGAAATCTCCTTGAGATGCCTCACATCTTGTTTCTGCCAGACAAGTCTCTGCTCATAACCCCTTCTACTCTCCTCGTTCCGGTTATCATCAATCCGAAACTTCTTCACTGTTTGCTCCAATTCATTCAACACCCCCATTTTACTATACAACCCCCTAGTAGCACTCACATACCTATCCATTTTCCTCACCATTCCCTCCATATGCTTAACTAAGAACCCTAACTCCTTCACATCTATAACACCACTAACAATATCACCATACACATGCTCAAACCCTTGCAAAGCAGGGACAGAACACTTCTTCCCTAACCTAGAAACCACACCGGCAACACGGTTCAACTCATCAAGCTTCTCACCTTTAACAAGCTCAAGTAAATAACCCTCATCAGATGAAACCAGTTTCCTAACACCCTCTGAGCTCAAGATCTCATTCCTTAGCTTTGTGATCTCAGACTCAGACAATGATTTATAAAGGTGAATGGTTTTGGACATTACATTAGCTACTTCAAAAGACAGAATCCCTATGGTTAAAACATTCTTATTAACATGCTTTTTAGGACCATGTTTTTTACTACTAGAAGAAGACTCAAAAACAAGGGCTTGTTTGATATTTGCACTTACATGGTTACCCATCTTCAAAATCCAAGCTTCAGCAACCATAGCTACCACTTCCACCAAACTTTCCTTCTGTGTCAACCCAAAACTGAAACCTTGTAAAAATACAAAACTCAACAAATGAAGATCAAACCCATCAAAAGAAAGAATGAGAAAGCCACAAAATCTTGTTAAAGATGCAAACTTTCATGGTAAAAACACTTTTTGAAAATGAAAATTTTTAAGGGGTGTGGATAAAACAAAAGGGTGCAATAGCAAGGAGAAGAAAAGACAAAGAAAGTGGGGTGGAGGGAAAAGAGAGGTAAAGGTTGTGATGTGTTTGTTCTGTGTCTCTTGTTCTACATTTCAAAAAGTGGATCAGGATTTTGAAAGTGGAAAGAAACTGTTGAATTTTGAATTTTTTTGTTTTTTTATGTTTTGATCTTCCAGTACCTACCAGCCAAAAAAGGAGCATAAAACAGGTACACGATACACAGACATTATTAAAAATATGTTAAAAATACTCTAGAGATTAATCTTAATGCTAAGATTATTATTCATAAACAAAAACTTAGAACACATGCTACTTCATAGATCTATATATATTGTATACTTATTTGTTTATTATGTAAGTATTTAATTACGACTATAGTTTGATGACAAAAAATTAGTCAAACTTGATGAACTAAGATAGTGCGTCAGTTGTACTAGTACTCCTATTTTGATTAGGCTTAGAATGAATATTTTACATGTGTTAGTTTGAATATTAGTACAAAAAGCAAAAGTCAAAGTTGTTAATATGTGGTCTTGGTGGAAGAGGTATCTATCTAAACCTATTAGAAGGAGGATCTTAAAATATGAAAATGAGAAAAATTTAATTATTCTATAATTATATAAAACATATGCTTTATTATTATTTTCAAATAAAATAATGGTCAACAATATATAATTTTTCGGAAAAAAAAACTCAATACAGCAACAACAACATCAATTATATTATTATGCAAAATTTCAACATAGATCAGAGGATGATAACAAACAAGATGAAACACCAGCCCCTCCTGGTTTCTTTCTCTATGAAGAGAAAAAAATTGAAGAAGTTTTAGAAATCTCTATTAACATTTTTAGAAAAATTATCACAGAAAAGTCTATTCATAAAAGTTCTTTACAAACAGCTCTAACTAGTTTTTGGCGCAATCCTAAAAATCTCCTTGTCCATGAAGTAGATCCTGACATCTTTAAGTTTACAATGGAAAAAACATGAAGACCACAAACGGATTCTTAAAGGTAGTCCATGGCTTTTCAAAAACTCTTGGATTATCATTCAGGAGTGGGATGGTAGAAGTGCTGTCAACAAATTGGACTTCTCAAAGGCCCCAATCTGGGTTCAAATTTTGGGTCTTCTTACAACTGCTAAACCTATCCATATGGGGATGAAACTTAGGGGAAAATTGGATAAGCTATTGAGGCTGAGATCTATGATATGTCTGACAGAATCACACTTGTCAAGACTAGAATCTACATGAATACTCCGACCACTATTTGTCCAGGAATGTACATTGAAAGTAAGAACAATGGTATTACCTGGATAGATTTTAGGGTTGAAAAAATGCTTCTCTTTTGTTTCTACTTTGGAATCATGGGGTATAGTGAGGATTTCTGCACAAAAAAAAACACTACACCAGATCAATGGTATAACAGAGGTAAACCCGCTCGGCTCATGACTCAAAGCTAACTGTCATACCCTAAAAATTTTCCTACCCTTTTTCATTTTTCATTTGGATTTTTCAAAAAACAAAATGTTGTGCAACCATCTCATAAATTATGACATTTGCATTTGATTCATAATTGGTTCAATGACCCGTTGTTCTTTAACCTTTAATTTTGTTGACTTTTATCATATTAACCTGTTGACTTGACTTTTCTATCATTGTTGATTTTTTTACTTTTGGAACTCATCAACCCTTTTACTTTTGGATTTTAGTTGATCTTGGATTTCTAGTCAAGGTTGATTTTTCTTTAGTTCATGGTTGACTTTGCATGTTTGTTGTAGAATGTTTGACTTTGACTTATGTTTGACTTTTTTTAAAATAAATAAATAATGTATATAAATAAAATTTATTTCATGAACAAAATTACTAGAAATGTCGTTGTTGCTTGTTACATAAGTCATCCATACATTGCATCTGACTTGGTCTAATCCAAAGGCAAGAGGCGCCTAAAACTAAGCTCTACCTGGTCTCTAGAGAGGGGGCGAATGTAGCTGGCACTAATGAGGCTGATGACACTGAGGAGGTTGGTGATGATGATGATGATGCTGGTGTTGGTTCTAGTTCACCATATGGCAAGGAGGTTGAGTTGGATGATGAGGAGACTGGGTCCGATGAGAACTAGTTGTTTTGATGTTTTGGGCATGATCTTAAGCTACTTCCTTTTGTTTCTACAAAGTGAAGTTTTTTGTTAAGCTTAGATCATTGCTTTATTTTTATTATGATTGTATTTTATTTTGTGTTGTCCATTATCCACCTTTGTGGATCATTTTGGGTGTTGTATTTATGTACCACTTTTGGTTACTTGCATTTTTGTTGGTGTTCTACACCATTACAATTTATTGTTATAAGAGTTGAATTCTTCAGTTCACGAATGTTCAACTTTAGTTTCTCTTCTATGTTGTTTAGAGTTGAATTCTTCAGTTAGGAATGTTCAACTCTAGTTTTTTTGGTTGTTGGTAGATTGTTGAATTTAATGCTTCTTTCTTTGGTGATTGAATGTGAGAACTTCTAGATTGGTTGCTATTTTATAAAAGTATCCAATGAAGATTCTCCCAAGTTTGGATGGTGATGATAGTATTTGAACATGTGAATGTAAGCAAGGTACATTGCACTGCTTCTTAGAATGTTAGAATGATTTAAGAATTTTGTGCTTTGTGCAAATGTGTATTTTTGTTTTATTTTGAAACTTTGTTTGAATGCTTGTTTCACTTAGGTCCAATAGCCACAATTTGTGATAAACTTCCATTTTCTACTATATGCTTAGGATGACTGATAGACTTTGTTTAATACATTTGATTCATGTTTAATCTTGTGATTAGTTTGATTTTGTGAAAGCATTAGAAATGATCAAAGTATTTGTTGATAATGAGCACAACCATATCCCAAAAAAGTAACTTACCTGTGAGTAGTGAGAATTTGGAAACTCATTTTGAGCTTAATAGTTTAGATCTTAGTTAGTGATGAACTTGGTGTATGTACATAAATTAAGAGATAGTTCATCATTGAATTTTGTGGGATTCTAAAAAAATTTCTTGAACCTTTAAAAATTATTCTAAATTGTCTTCCTTGTCATAAAAAGTAAGGAACATTCACTTGAGGTTTGGTTAAATTTATGTTGGGGAGAGTAAAAAGGAAAGTGGTAGGTTACTCAAAGTTTTGAAATTTTTCAAACAAGCATTGAAAAATAAAATTGTGAATGTGATGTGAAAAAGAAAAAGAAAAAAGCATGCTTATTTGAAAGAAAAAAAATAGAAAATGAATAATGTGCGTTGAGGAAGTTTGGAAGGGTGAACAATAAAGAAAAGAAAGTGTTGAATGAAGTTGTAATGTGTACATAACCTTGTATATTGAATGTTTCTTTTGAATTGGAAACTTTGATTCCATGGCTTTAGATATGTCCCTTTATTGTGAACCTAACCAAGCTACAACTTTAAAACATCTTAGTAATATTTTGCTTCCATGATTTAAATTTTGATTATTAGATGAATATATGAATTGGATTGTTATTTGCATTGTTTGTCAGGTGAGTGAAATTTTCTCGCGGTAGCATACACGTTAATTTCTTCATTCTTATTTTGAAGAGGAATGTTAGAGTGATTCAAGCATGAAAATTTAGTTGTTATTTGAAACATTGCATGATATTTATTTAAGAACTAAATTCTTTATCATTGTTCGATTCTAGAAAATGGTGAGCATTGCTTGTGCATATTTGTATGTTTAATTTGAGTCATAAATCCATTCTTGATTGAATTAAATGCTTGAGCAAACCCTCTTGTTTTCAATGAGAAACATACTTTTCTTGAGGAAAAACAAACATCTAGTTGGGGAAATTTTGTTGAATGTCAAACATGCTTTAATTTGATCCATTATATTTGGCATTTTTCATCTCATTTGTTATGTTTCAATGCATTTATTCCATGTTTCCATGCTATTCTTAAATTATGTGCAAATACCTTTGGTTGCTTTGATTTGTATGATATTGTGTAGGATTTGGGCATAAAACATCAAAAAATAAGACACAAGTAAATGGACAAGGAAGCCAAAGAAAAGTAGAAGATTTAGCATGCTCGTTGGGCGAACAATAGCGAGCAGCCAACGGACATTTGTTGGGAGAAGTTGCAGTGAGGCCTTAGCGAACCATCCCAAATTAAAGGCAGTAAGAAAAGGGTCATAAGTTCACTGTGCAAACTTGTAGCGAAGAAGCTCGCTGGGCGAAGAAGTCTTCGTTGGGCGAGTTTAGATATTTCCTCAAGGGCGATTTAACTGTTTAGGGGCACTTCAGGTGCCATAAAGTGGTCCTTGCTTGGCAAATAAAGGGTTCGCTGGGCGAACTTGGAAGATTCTAAAAATGTTATATATGTATTTTTCACACTTTTGGGGGATCATAACCCCATTTTCACATAGAAACCTCACTTTTTTCATTTCTTCACCAAAGAGTGAGATTTTACAAATAGAAGCCGGATTCGCATTCAAGATTGATTCTTCGACGTGGATATGCTTATTCATCTTCTCTCAAGACTTGTAAAGAAAGCTACCATGATTATGGGTAGTTGATTTCCTTTGTATCAAAGGTAGAGGTAGTCTACCTTGCCTTTATGTATTTCTTTTGATTGACCTTGTATGTGAACAAGTGATGATTAATATATGATGAATATTTTTGTTCTTAATGATCCATTCTTGTTTTGTAAAACTCTAGACATAGGTTTTATTAAGCTTAACCTAAAATATTCATTTATCAATTTATAGATTGGAGAGATCGGTCTATGGTTAATATTTTCTTTGTATTGTACTTAA